GTATTCAATAGTATAATCAATAAATAATGAAATGAATTTCTATCAATACTAATTCATCTATTTAATTCATCTATTATAATAAACCCAATAGTCTCTTACTACTTGATTCTTCATTTTTATTTGAGATACATTGATTTTCATTATTTACATCATTGATTCACTAAAATACCTTGAACTATTGACAGTTAATAATTTCAAGGTTAAACTATCTTTGGATTTCAAAAGGCCCCTATCGTGCTGCTCGTCCTCCTTCCGCTGCTTCTCCTGCTTTTCCCCCCGTTCCTCCTCCCCCCCCCCCCGCTCCTCTTCCCGTGCCATAGGCCCGCTCCCGCTCCTTCCCCGCTCCTTCTCCCATGCCTCCTCCCGCTCCTTCTCCTGCTCCTCCCACTCCTCCTCCTCCTCCCCCTCCGGTCCTCCTCCACCTCCCGCGTGTTCGTTAACCCCCTCCCCGTTTCCCCTCCCGCTCCTCCTCCCACTCCTMCCGCCCCTCCTCCCGCGCCTCCTCCGCCCCTTCCCGTTTCTCCTCCTGCTGCTCCTCCTCCTCCGGCTGATTCTCCTGCTTTCCCCCCCGTTCCTCCTCCCCTTCCTCCCGCTCCTCTTCCCGCACCATAGCCCCGCTCCCGCTCCTTCCCCGCTCCTTCTCCCACTCCTCCTCCCGCTCCTTCTCCCGCTCCTCCCACTCCTCCTCCTCCTCCTCCTCCTCCTCCCCCTCCCGTTCCTCCTCCGCCAAACAACGTGACAAAGCTCTCGCCATACCCCCGCTCCCGCTCGTTCTCCTGCTGCTCCTGCCTCTCCTCCTCCCTCTCCTTCTCCCGCGCTCCCTCCTGCTGCTTCTCCTTCTCCCGCTGCTTCCCCTTCTCTTTCCCCTGTTCCTCCTCCTGCTCCTTCTCCCGCTCGTCCTCGTGCTCCTCGCACTTCTCCTGGTCCACCTATATCTCCTCCCCCTCCTCGGCCTCCTGAACGTTCGTTAACCCCCTCCCAGTTTCCCCTCCCGCCCCTCCTCCTGCTCCTTCTACTGCCCCTCCTCCCGTGCCTCCTTCGCCCCTTCCCGTTTTTCCTCGTGCTCCTTCGCCCGCTCCTAACCCCCTCCCCGTTTCCCCTGCCGCTCCTCCTTCTCCAGCTCCTCCTCCCGCGGCTCCTCCGCCCCTTCGCATTTCCCGTCCCGCTCCTTCTCCCACACCTGCTCCCGTTCCTCCCACTCCTCCTTTTCCCGCTCCTTTTCCCATCCCTCCTCCCGCCCCTCCCGCTCCTCCCGCTCCTCCCGCTCCTTGCCTCGCTCCTCCTCCCGCTCCTCCTCCGCCAAACAACGTGACAAAGATCCCGCCATAGCCATCTCCTATGAAAAAAACAAAAGAAAAATGCCCCCCCACGTGGCTAGCCGAGAGAGAGAGAAAGAGAGAGAGAGAGAGAGAGAGAGAGAGAGAGAGAGAGAGAGAGAGAGAGAGAGAGAGAGAGAGAGACAGAGAGAGAGAGAGAGAGAGAGTTTTCCATCGATAGAATGAGCAACGCACCGGCCAA